CGATGCAATGGCGGCGACACGTTCTTTTGCACGCGTTTCGTGACGTGACTGTAACCAGCATCTGTCGATATTACCGCCGTATGATATGCACGTCGTATGTCGCATGCCAGCATAATTTATCCCAGCTAGATTAATTACTACGGAACAATCGCGCGACAAGGCGACGACAGTAAAACGCCCTTTTGTCTCAAATAATGAAATAATTCATTCCCGGTAAAACATTCCTCTTTTTGAATATTATATGTAATTAGATGTAATTACATAAAATCAAATATAATTAAATATAATTTTATCATTTTTTCACAAGGTTTATTTAATTAAATTTAATTAAACATAATTGTCTGTATACAATTATATTTTAATTTTAATACATACAGGATAATAAAACATTTAGTTGCGAAAAAATTCGCAAAGTTTTACGTTTATCAAATTACTAGTAACGTATATTTACAAAAAACTAACTCTGTAATGTTAATTTTATTTTATTAAATATATTTTTTATATAAATTTTTATATAAAGTTTTATGTAAAGTTTTTTTATATAAATATGTTCAGATAGGAATTAGCTGACTTTATGTGTTATAATTTTTACATCAAAATGATGACCTGGGTAATGATTTGATAAACACGCAAAACCTTATGACTAACTTTTTGTCATCTTGTAAAATTAAATGTGATACTTTCTTATGAAATTTAATTATGAATTATTATTGTTTTTTAAAGAAATAATAAATAAATATGATCTTTATTGATATGGTTTTTAATTTTAATATTGATATTAATATTAATTAGAAGAAAAGCTGTGTGAAAAGCATACGTGTTATCTATAATGTTCTTGTATCTGCAAAGCATGTTACATGCATTATCTGGAAATTGCATGGAATTAAATTAAATAAATCAATATCGATGAGATTTCCTACGCACCACAAGCGCATGTAAACAATAGCGGTAAATACGAGCTTGCATACCGCGTGAACTCTGGATATTCCGCATTTCCATGCAACGTTGGAAGATTTCCATATCGATATCGAGCGCATGGACAATGCGATGCGAGATATCACTACCGAATACCGAATTGACTCTTCTTTAGAGGAAAATTTGTGGAAAATGTCATTGTATTCGCGGCATTTTAACATCTAGCGTTGCGCATATCTCGGTAAATCGAATTAAATTGTTGCTATCATTGTCCTTTGTTTTCATTCGTTGAATATCACTCGCTTTCGAGATTTAGAAGGAAAATAGAAATAAATAAAATAATTGCTTCATTCATAGAAAATTTTAACAAACGAAATTCAGATCAATATAAATTTTAAAAATGAAAAATGTACGTTCACAAAATTTAAATTCATGTGATCGTGATCGTGTATTTTTCTTTTTTTTACAGAATCCGGTGGCTACGTCTTTCGAGATCTTCTGGATAATATTCGAATCGATCTTGTTTGGCCTTACCGGCACACAAATCAAGATTAGTGAGCTCGAAGGAAAAACCGTCTACATTGCACTAGGATGTTTACTTGTCGGTATTGTTATCCGTATCGGAATAACGATAGTACTAGGGATAGGTTCCAAACTGAATTTCAAAGAGAAAATGTTCATTGCTTTGGCTTTGATGTCTAAGGCGACCGTGCAGGCCGCTCTGGCACCCGTTACCCTCGACGAAGTTGACAAGAACGATCACGAGCAAGTCGAATACGCCGAGATCGTACTGATGATGTGCGTACTCTCGGTACTTTTGACCGCACCAGCGGGAGCCATTATGATAACAATCTTGGGACCAAAGCTGCTGACGAAGACCACTGTGCCGGTCAGCCCGCCGGAAGCTTGGAAAACGCGCAGACCATCGATTCGCGATATTTCAATCATCAATGAGGATCCGGATCTAGAGGAGACCGCGAACGAGAGGAAGCCCTGACAACTGTATTTAATTTGCATTCAAAGTCAAGCTAATAGGAGTTCAGCCTTACTCTCCGGTGTGCCCGAAAATGCCTGAACACCTTTATTTTAATTACTCGAGGCACGACTTAACGGTCAAAGACTTATGTCTATATGATCACTGATAAGATATTAATCGTGGTTTAATGTCAGTTGATTTATATCTAGATATCTCATGACCGAAAATGAAGTATTCATAATGATATCACAGCGATATCATATCTCAAACTTTTATTCTGAATTATACGCGAAGATTTTATTTAATCTGACATTAAATCAGTATCGTTATACTTCAAGTGATAAACCGATCGAATTTAAGCGATAATCCTAGTCCGTGGAAAAATTCTTCGCATGAAATAAAAGGACGATCAATAATTGGTACATTTTACATATTTATAATGCAAAATTAAGAGATTGCGTTTATTTAGGAATTTTATAATCTTAAGATTTGGGAATCCGTAAGTAATATTAAATTGAGAGTTTCATGTTGCGATTTTGAAATTTAATTATATTATGCGCGCGCGCAATTGGTAAATTTATAATTATATTTATTTTAATTATAATTATACATCCTGTACATTATTACGATCATAATTATAATATTCACGTATTCTTTCCTTGATCACTGTATTTTAAGCACAAGAATTTATTAGCGAGAACTTTTATTACACTTACGTTGTTTTAATGAATTCATTACTGATATTGACATTGTAGTATTTGTAAACAAAAAGAAAGAGACTGTACTATATACTGAGGAGATATATTTACGCGCTAGCGATAGTTTTATCAATAACACATAGCAATTTTACTGATTCACTTGTTAATCAATTCATTAATTTTTACGGGTAATTTATGTTAATTCTTATTGAAAAAATATTCGTTGAATGATGGGTTATCATGTAATATGTGAAGACATTTTTGTAATAAATACGTATACGAAATGCGACTGTGCGCTAGTTTGCCGTTATTAATAAAATCTTAGTGATTTTGGAAACTTTATAGGTGATCTATATAGGTTATGGCTTTATTATTATGGCTTTATGATTGATCTATATAGGTACTGGTCGTATTATAACAGATTGTATGATTTTAAGTGTGCGTTTATATCAGAAAGATGTGAATTGCGCGAGAGTGCGAATCTGGTATTAGAATCGCCGAGTATAAGGTTATCCGACGTGATATCTTTATTTTTTTATAAAAAATTTTTTCAATAAAACAGAAAAAGCCGATTCAAGTTTTGTAGCGACATGAGAGTACAGTTTTAGCACTAAGACAATAATAGCGCACGTCAAAAGAAATGTTCACATTATCGAGCTAATCTTCGAGCCGAACGTAAAGAGTTTCGAGTTGAATTTCTCCACAGGTGTCAAACTTTTTCAGGAAATTTAGTTTGATAATGTGCATTCTAAGAATACAATGAATGTATCTAAATGTATCCTAAATACATGATGTAAATAAATATATTGTTGCAAGATATCATAATTTTACTGATAAACTCCATTTGAATATACATTTAAAATAAAAGCAATTTTTGCTACAAATAAACTTTCTAATATTTGTTTCTAACGTTTTGTTTTTGTTCACTTGCTGACTGTCAAATTAAATTTTACGTTTCTTAATTTCATGACATCTTTCATTTCATTTTTTAACTATTTAATACATATTGTTATTTTATGTTGATTGTTTAGGCTCGTAGCCCTTTACTCTTTTTATTTATTTTTCTAATATTTCTATTCCTGTCGCTTTTTATCGAAGAAACTAATTAATTTTCAAAACAGTACACATACAGTAAAAGAAAACATTCTAATACTTATACGATCAGAAAAATATTGTACATTCCTTGTGAGGTACTTTAAACAACTTTATATTGTTATATTATTATTAGGTGTTGGAATTAATTCGTAGCGTTTTTTAATGAAAAAATGTTATTTATTTCACATGAGCATTAAAAAATACATTAATGAAAGTACTTCCCATCACTTGTAAAACGCTACGAATTAATTCCAACACCTAATATATAATATTATTTGATCTGCTTATCAGGTTTAAAAAAAGCAGGTTGTTCTTGAATATCTCTTAACTCTGCTGGTCTATTCAAATTTATTATACGATTACATTGTTTGGATCAATATGATTAAAAAGAATTTAAGAAATAAAAAAAAAACAATTTTTTTACATAAGAAAAATAAACATTTTAGATTAAACAAACCCGAACAGATGCAGAATTAAAATGCCTCAAGTAAAATCGACCAAAATATTTTCTTAACAAAAATATACAAGCGCAAAAATAAATCAAGAACTATTTAACAATAACATTTAATATACATATTTTTAATTTTATTTATTATAACTTTATCGTAATCACTTATGCATCATACGTTTTATGCCGTAACATGCAAAAATATCGTTCGTAATTTATGGTGATTAAAGATAATCTTTAGTATTCTTGATGAATTTTTTTTGTATAACTTCTATAATTGTAAATCTAATACTTAGAAAGTAATGCTCGTGATATATATATATATATAGAATCTTGTGCCATTTTCAAAACTTCTTAGCAGATATTTCTGAGAGTCAAGAATAGCAGTTACGAATAAGTCCATTATCAAAATATAGGCCAATACAAAAGGAAACTTTATACAATCGTATCCTACATCAAGCCCTATTCATGCCACTACCCACACAGAATACTTTATCCAAGGAACGTCTTGAGACGTAGAACATTCTCTAGTCTCTAGGACGTCTCTTGAAGGTCTGTATTGTGTAAGTATTTGGCATGGCGCCAGATAGCGTCCAATCAAACATAATTATTTCTCCTGTCAGTTACTAATCCTCCTGCTATCAAGAAAATAATAAAATTATAGAACAGCAAATTAATCTTATTTCAAATATAATTCATTCGAAAATTAGAAATAAAGGTTGTCGTTATTACGTATAATTACATATAATTTAAAATGCACTAAATGCGAATTTAAATTTATACTCCACTTAATAAAATATTGATAGAAAGAAGATTTTTACTTATTTTAACTGACATAAGTACGTATTTAAGATAAATTGGACAAAGCGTGACTCGAGGACACAAGAATATTATGTGGTAAAAAGGAAGACATAAATTATGTAAATTATCATACTAGACAGTCTCAATTATTACCTTATGGTGTCGAACTAATCGCAAACGTCGTTAATGTGCTGTCACTTGTGCTTTTCCTGACTTTATAAGGATCGTGTAAAGTCGCAGTTGCGTTATTCGCCGGAGTTGTTTTTTTCTTCTTGGTGTCAAATCCCAATCGCCTACGAAGTGCTTGATACACGCGACTCTTCAAGACGAAGAGGATAAAGATCAGTAGACCTTGGAGACAATTGAAAACATCGCTGGTGTAGAAAAACACATGATGCCAATGTCCGTAATCTAAATATTTTACCAGGAAGAATGACACCACCTCGCAAATCCAGGACATTCCCATGACGATAAATAGTTTGATGTTCATGATAAATCTATCGGAAAATAATATATAACTTTTTTGTGAAATTTTATTAAAATAAACAACACATAAAAATATGAAGAATATAGGTAAAACTCAATTTAAAACAACAATTTAAAATTTTATCTTAGCTATATTTGCAATTTCTTATTATAAAAAAAATTCAATGATGAAAAGTAATATTTAATTAGGATTCTTAAAATTCAAAGGTTAATAAAATTCAAGGCAAGTGAGAGTAAAAAATTAACGGAACGGTACAATTGATGCACTATAAATTAACAACGTAAAATATATTTACATCCATTGCAAGACGATTGGATCTTTCGGCCTATTTCACGCTATCATTAACGATACCAGTAGTAATTCAGTAAGCAAGAAACATATTAGAACATTTTAGTAACATTGTAGCAACGTTACAACGTTGCTATAATGTTGCTGAAATGTTTCAAAATGTTTCTTGCTTACTAGGAATTGATCTTTAATTAGCATTCTTGGTCCACAATAAACAAATTCTCGGTATATAGATATATAGTGAATATACTTAGAAGTGCGAACGTCACTAGTTGTGCTTCTTAATCATAAAAATTAAAATGACCTTTACGATTTACTCACACCCATTTATCTATATTGCATATTGAGAATTTGTTTCTGCGAATACCAAGAACATGTTAACTAAGGATTACCTACTTTAAAGATGGCTTTAGGTAAGCCGAAACACGTTCGATCGTCTTGTAATGAATATTGAAATATATTTTACATTGTTAATTTTGAAATATTAACATTGTTAATTTATAGTACATCGATTATTATATCGCGCCATTTATTATTGTAATTTGCCTTTCTATTAGTATACAAAAAAATTATTTATCAAATGTTTTTCATTCATTGAAAATTAACAGTTATTATTTATATAGCTAGAGTGAACTCTAATGATTATTTTTTAAAAAAGTGTAGCCAACTAACTGATTACTCATAGCCAAAGTTAATAGTATAAAACGTGCTTCTAAACACACACGATTTTATGTTTCTAGCTGTGTTTCTATTTTGTAGTTTTAAATAGAAAGCAATAATTCTTATATTTTTGTGTAGGCTGTAACAACTTCGAAGAATACTCTCATCAAAATGATAAAATCGACACTAAAAATTACGAAATGACGCGCGTGCTTAAAATTTATGTGCACTAATTTATTGCTAAAGTATCTTTAGTTACGTTGCTTCAGAAAATGAAAAGAAAATCAATCGTTTGCTTCTGGGATCTGTGGGGTCCGTAGTTACCCTTTTTATTTCTGCTTTTACCTTATTGCAATGTACCGATGTAAGAATGAAAAATACTATGTTAGATATCAGCAGAATCATCACCGGTCCGATGAAGAAAGTTAATTCGCCGTATGAATCTCGTTTTTCTGTATTATTAAAATAAAATATTTTTAAAAATCATTAGAGTAAAATATTTAAAATTTTTTGCACAATATGAAGATAATTCATTGTAACGTAAATATGAAAATACTTTTTCCTCTAATTTGTATTATTTAATTATTTCGTTTCATTTACTCTATCTTACAAATAAGAGATGTGACTGAATTAAAAAAATATAATTCAGTAATAGTCTATTACGGCTACTTTACCTTCGCTTTAAATCGTAAAGACTATTGAGAATTTTTCTTACTTAATTGAATGTAGTTGCTTTATAAATGATACTTATTACGTTGCAATATAAATGACACTTATTACGCGAGCAGTTAATTTAATTACATTTTATATACAGGATCAATGATGCCTAAATTTGTTCTAGCACGATCAATACGACTGCTCGAAAAAGTTTTTAATTATCGGATAATTGCGACACGACGATAGAAAGAAAAAACTTTACGTTTGCTTTCTCCCCGATACGTTCAACTTTGAATGCTAAATGAATTTTCTAACTGCAATTCGTCTTGTATGAAAATATATATATATTTCCAACTTTATCTATTTCCATTGTATAAATTAACAAGAAGGTGCAAGAAGAAATAATCAACATTGTATAAAGTCAGCTTTTGTTACGAAAAGTCAGTAATATCTTTCCAAGAAGTTCATAATTAGCATTGACAAATTTGCGTTACGTCATCTCAGACAACAGTTGTAAATGACTCACGTGTAAACCAACAGCCCCTATTACCAATATTGGGTTGCAGATAGTCTGGCAAGATTTTCGTGCTGTCAGCAACGATAGCGAAGATTGACACTAGCAAGGAGAGACCCCATGCATAGACGCAGTATAATAGAAATCTTTTCCTATGCTCGCGCGCTTTTGTAATGGTACTTCCACGCAAAACTCTGCGGGGAAGATAAACTATTATTATATTGTGCATTAAGATAAAAAAATTAAGAAATAACTATTATTATATTGTGCATTAAGATAAAAAAGAAAAAAATTAAGAAATAACGTATATACTGTTGATAGTGATGTAATTCCGAATAAAATATGTTAATCTACAAAACTCTATTAATATTTATTCCAAGTGTGTTTCTTAAAATAACGCTTTTAATATTAATTAGACGATGAGGAAAAGTAGAATTGATGGTCAAGCGTGCGACTGATTCTTAAATGTCACGTTAAAAAGGATTGAGGCAATCTGCTTCGTTACGATCTTAATTTAAGGAAGTCGATTTGGGACTCAGTCATAAAATTCCGTGACTACCGCATGAATATTACATGATTTACTTTTCGATCCACGGGGAATGAACGTCGTGAAAAAATAAGAACCAGTCTCGTGGAATTCCCGATCGAGAGAGCGTGCGCCAGCCAGCTAACATTAAGCTGTACCGGTATCGTCGTCGCAACGTATGGGAATCTATTTTCTCCGCATATTTACAAATCTCCCAGCTAGAATAGCGTCTTAAACACACAAACGTTTGTAACTACCTAAAAACGACAGACGAGATATGTCCAGTCCCGATCAATCGTCGCTCTTTGATAGGGCCTAATATGTTTAGAAAGTATTTCTTTTTTCCATAAAAATTCGCAAAATTAAAAAATTTTTTTCAACGAGATTTATGTCCTCGAGACGTCACGTCTAATTTTTAATTACAATACTGATTTGCTAAAAAAATGTAAATTAAAAATATGTTAAAAAAATTTCTTTTTCTGGAAGTTACAAATTCCCTAACTTAAACTTTTCGTGAACTAAATACTTTCCTACGTGCATGAAGTATTGGCGCTATATTAAACGCGTTGAGTCATTCCAGTGTTTAATGTTTAGCAGTGTATATTTATTTAAGCACCGACGTACGTAGAACACAATGAATTCATGAAGAGACATGTATAGGTGCGCCCACAATGGGAATTAATGAGAACGGCAAGACATTTTATGAAAGATCAATAAAGTAATTGAGGTAACATCGAAGAAACCATCGGGTAAACAATTTTGTGCAATGACAAACTTCTATAAATAAAATTATTAAAAGAGATCGACTAATTCATTAATCGGTCATCAAAGAAAAATGATTATTTTCTGTCAAGAAGTTATGGCTTTGTCTCATTTACCCAATTTTATCTTCGATTGTCTTATTTGATCCAGTCGCGTGATGGCGTCGTATGACTTACCCAAAGGTCCACCATATGTCGAAGCACATGACGTTAAGCCAGGAAAACGCCGATAGAAAAGAAAAAAGCATGGTATAAGCTGGAAAAACATTGTTTTTTTCAACATTTCATTAACGTCATTTGTACGTGAATATTTTTTAGAATATACTTAGAATATAGACTATACTATACTATATATCTTAGAATATACAAACCTAAAGCTTTACATGTTGTCATAATTTGTCCTTCAATCACGTCACTAGGCATGATCCAAGTGATGATGGGCAAGCAGGTGAAGGCCAGGAGGAGGCTACTCACATGGCACATCAGCGTTTTACCATGAAGATTCTGCAGACTCGGCAGACACGCGTACACCAATAAGGTCATTAAGAGGAAGGCGCAGCTGATGATTTCCAGGATGGTGTTTATTTGGTATCTATTAGCGAAAAATACATTTCGCGTTTTGTGTTTGACACGTATTTATTTGAAGCGTATTGAATTGACTCGTCCAACATTATTTTCATCAATTTCATAGACATTGATTAATGTTTTCTCTTTGCGCCGCGTATACAACTAAAACGTTTATAGTTCTCGAATACAGGGCATCATCTATTGTGCAGAACGTTGGTAAGCTACGTTTGTTTGACTTTGCGAAGTTTAAACAAATCAAGCCTGCCGAGTTTCACCAAATTTGACAGAATTTGCGGTGGGAGAGACGAAAGCCTGAATACATAGAGATGCATCGGCAGCGTCTATAGAAACCTAATGCGATGCATTCGTTACTTTAATTTCTAGAAACTCAATACAAACTTATACTTTTCTAAAACAATTTTCCCGATACTACAAAGTGTTTCGGCAATATATTCACACTCAATGCAATCTCTTTATTCAGACACATCTATCAAGATAAAAGTGAAGCTGATTAAACGCTAATAAAAGTACACGAGTGATTATCTATAGTTATCAAATACTCATTTTACAATTGAAAAAAATAAAAACAATGTATACCTTATTGAAATCTTATTTGTCTCCGATTTGTCAAAACATATGAACAAATGAAAGTTGTGATCAAACTCCGATTTGTTGTAAAAGACGTCCATGCAGTATTTGTCCTGGTCGTACGCGGCATAATTTTCGACAAAAACATGTCCTTCTGATGTCAGCGCCCATTCTTCTTCCCTTGGATCCATGGGATACATGCCGTATTTACATGGCTTCCCAATCAAAATGCCATAGTCTAAGCAATCAGAGAGAAGCCTATTAACTCCGTTTCTCCATATATATAGGACTCTCGTCGACAACTTGTTGCGCAATTGTTATTCATTTATTATCAATAAACTTTAAATAAACAGTCAAATTTCTTTCTTAAAAGGTAATAAGAACATTTAAATGTTATTGGAAGAACCTTTGGTCGTGTCGAAAGCGGACGATTTCGTTTGATTTACGGCGTTTGCGAGGGCCTCGTGAAACTCTATCGGTTCGTCGGGTACAGCGAGTTTATTGCATCCCTGGGCGTAAAAGAACTCATTTTCGGCACAGCACTTTCTAATGCAAGCGTTCCTGTGGCAAAATTCCGGATTTCTGCAGACGCGCGCTATCAATGTTCGATCAGAATCCGACGTCCTCTCGAGGCAAGCATTATCCTCAGTAACCAATAGTTCCTCTTTGACAATATTCATGAACGCTGGAACCATCACCTGTCGAATTATTTGATTTACGATAATGTTGTATTAATTTACACTGACACATCCAGAAGATAATTGCTTCTATAAAATATTGTATGTATAGGATACATGAGACATTTAGAAAATTTTCATTCTAAAAAAGATATTATGTCTATAACATAAGATTTGTAATATTATGTCTATATATAAGATTTGTCGAGAAATTATTAAATGTCTTTGAGCACATACACAAATCGAAAAATATATATTTTAAAATGTTTTTTCAAAAGCTGTTAATATTCCATCTCAACTAATTAAGTTCGAATGTATGAAGAGAACAATTAATTAATTTGTGAATTATGCTTTAATAGAAATTGTATTTATAATCAACTTCCTAAAATCGAAAATTTATCTTATTCTTATTGGTACATAAAGTGATGCATAAATTTTGACAAAAAGATATAAAATAAAAAATATGTCAAAAAAATATTTTAAATATTTCTTATATATATTCAAAATAAAATTTTTATATCTTATAATAAGTTTTAATTTTCCTTTACTTACTGAATATGTACTGTTCTGCACAAAGACATCGTTTTTGTCAATCTCATAGTCGACGATGGGGCCTTTGCACGTAGGTGGACCTTCGGTAGCTATTATTACAAGATCTGCGTTAGCCAATCCATTTAACAAAAATGCTGCAAGGCTGTCTAATTCGCTTAACTGCGGCACGCAAGCTTTCGTGCGACTGTCGAATACCGTATCGCGAGGGCAACATTTTCTGATATATGTGAGTTGCGGAAAGGACGCGTTAATCGCTTTTATCAGTCGATCTTTGTACGATCGACAATGAACAACTATTACGGTACTTTCTCCAGTTGCTTGCATGTGAAGTATTTCGAGGCAAGCCGGTACCTACAAACAGTTTATCAAATTGATAAACACGAATTTTTCGTTTTTATATTTAAATTAATATTTGCCGTTTCACATAATCGATTATATAATTGGGATAGTATTATACTTTGATTGTTACGCGACGATAATAGCTACCATAAAAATATCATCAAAAGAACAGTGTGTTATTTCTTTTTAATGATGTAAATGGATATGTGAATCTAGAAAGTGCATTTAGCCATTCCCTATCGAAAGCTAAATGAAAATAAATAAAATATATTTTGAAAATTGATTTATTTGATAAGAATATTATATATAAAGTAAATAAATAAATGTTATGTCTGATTAAGGTAATAAATTGTAAGTTTATTTAAGAAAGTTAAAAATTTTCTAGCATTATTTAATATATTAAAAAAATATTTATAAAGTTAAAAAAAAGGATAGGAAATAAACGTAAAATGAGATTTTTGTGTCATTTAAGTTTCTTCTATTTTCGAAAAACTGAATACTTTTTTTGCAAATATGTTTCTATATATTTACTCTTTGTCAGGTTTTATAACATTTGTAAATGCTTAATGAACAGTGAAACGCACCCATATACATATATAAAAGGAGCGGTTAATATACTTAACCTAATAAAATAATTAATATGCCTAATATATAACTTGAGGGAGTGGTTGATTATACCTTGATCTAAATTTTGAGCAAAACAAAGAGAATCAATCAATTATTAATTAGTATATTAAGAATTAACGTTAATATTAATTTACATAATTAAGATAAATTAAGGTAAAGATAAAAGTACTACTTTTAATTGTAAAATTTGTATTTTTCGGTCTATTATATATATATTCGCGCGAAGATAAATTTTTTTTATTGTACTTAGAGGTGACAAAAAAGAGATTTTCGGATTATATCGTGTCGTGATAAGTTTTTTATTATATATTTCATTACTTCTCTAAGAAAGGCATTTTTCTTTTAATTTCTTTATTAAAAATACTTGATTTCTACTTTAAGCATCACGGTATCATGGTCATTTATCTTAACAATGAAAATGAAGAAAATCAAGATAAAATTAAAGACAAATGAAAAGTGTCATTTTATTGAAAAAGATTGTATTTTTCGTTTAATTGTTTTATCATCAATTTTTATGTTTCTCTTTATACTTCTTCATGAAGGGGCTTGACTTTTATCTCGTCAAAATATCGCAATCTTAGTTGAAGACACTTAAGAAACCAATTTAATCATTACAATTTACCTCTAAGAAATTGTCGGAATCAAGATCGTCAAGCGGTGTTGTCATAAGATCTTCGGGTTCCTTACACTGAGGAATTCCTTGGAACTTCGTAGTGGTGTTCCAATGTTGAATATAGAGTTCCGTCGCGTTCCTCGGTACTGAAACGCACTCTACGATGGAATGTCCTGAGAAGATCTCTCCTGGCGGGCAACATTTCGTCAGGTGTGACTTCGACGATACTTTTGTCGAGAATAACACCAGACCGGCCAAAACAAACCTTATCATGGTCATAGTGGCTTAAAAATATAATTACTCGTTTATCCAATGTAAACAATTTCTAGCTCTCTATTACATTATTCCTAATTTTTTGGACACATCTGTCGATGTTATCCCTGCTGAAAAAAATTATGTTATAACGTTATATGATGAAATCATAATTAAATCATATAAATCACGTAATGAATTGTTTCAAATCAGTACGTGATTTTTTTAAATAATATAATTTGAAAAATCACATAATATTACAAATAATTTCATCCATTATATGATATTATAGCTATCGAATTTTAAAGAATTGAATAATAGGAATAGAAGAAAAAAGAATATATCATGTGATTTTTCAAAATACGTAATTTTAAAATCGCGTACTGATTAGAATCCGCTACACTGAGAAAAAAATGCTGTTGATTCAATTAAAGTCTATATTACGGGCTATCACTAACATAAGTAATTAATTCATGTATACTTTTATTGACATAAAGGCCTTAATTATTGAAATAATAATTTATGCTTTTATATCAATAAAAATATATATGAATTAATTACTTATATATTAGTGATAGCCCATAATACAGACTAATTGAATCAACAGCATTTTTTTTTCAATGTACGTAATTTACATGTTTTATTACATGATTTCATCATGCAACTGACGTGATTTTTTTCAGTATAGGTATGTTTCAAATTGCTACTCTCCGAAATTACTTTGCAGCTACGTTTCAAAACTGGCTCTAATTTTTATTATACTCTTTTTTTCTCTATATACAGTATATATTTTATTTTAATTTCTACGAAAATATAATTTGTCGCTGATTAACACTTCAAAATCGTTTTTTTTTCTTTTTCAGAAAGAACTTCTTTTACTTTCTTTTCTGCTCTCAGATTATTATAAATCATAGTTAAGCTAATTCCTGAATGTTTAACTCCATCTTATAAAAATTTACAAGTTTTATACACAAATTAAATTAATACCTTGTTCCACTTTTTTGTTTATGTCTCGATTCTTCTTTTGTCTTAAATTACGTTTATGTCAGCTGATTCGAATAGCTGGCGTCAATGTGAAGGCTATTAAACGATAAACACAAGCACAACGGAAGTATAGTTGCTATCCGTTTAATGACAACTAGATTTATCTTTCCGTTTAATCATTCTATGTAAGAATTTACATTGCTACAATTTTTAAAGGCAAGTCTTCAACACTATTATTTATGTTTTTAAAGCAAAAAAAGATTATTTTAAAATAGATATTTATAAATTATAATACTTTATAATTCAAATTTTTATTATATACCTTTCTTTCTTTTTTTCTTATAAATCCACTTATATCATTCATCTAGAAAATCTACAAAAATAAGAATCATTCGGTCGGAATGGAAAAGTTTCATCTAGTTTCATCTAAGAATATTCAATGTTTCGTAGTAAAAACGAGTAATCCATTAATCAAATTGTTCTTAATGCTTGATTGAAAAATTGCAATCCGGTTCGCCCGGCTCTTCCTTTAATCACCGATCGTTTTGTCTTCTTCGTGCAAAGTTAAATAGCAAGTCGTTCGGCGCACTCCTTCATCCGAGCACTCAATCAAATTATTGTGTTGTCTCTGTAAATAATCAAGGACACTCTCGGCCGATCGATTTTACGATTGTCCTGTTCAATACGTCACTATTAACGTGATTATCGTTCTGCATTTGTACCTCGCGCGAGACGCGTGCGGCGAATCCGAACGCACGGCAAGAACTGCTGTTCACACGCGCTTCTCAAAGCGACGCGACTGAACAGATCAGCGTGAAGAAGCGAAACGAGAGACGCTTCACTGTAACGTCTTGGCATAATACCGGATGCACCAAGAAACGCCCTCGTGAAGAGGATGCCACTTCCACGATCGTCCGATCTTTCATCTTCTTTGGTTCTCTTCCTCTTCTCTTTCTCTCTCTCTCTCCCTCCTTCTCTCTTTTTTTTTCATTCCCTCTCCTTTAGGTCATCCTGCTTATTCACTCTCTCATTCAATTATATGTACGCAATCTCTTTCTCTTTCTTTCCATATTTCTTTTTTCCTTTATGGTATCCTACTACAACTTCTCCTTTTTTTTAGGATTCTTCAAATTCCTCGAGTTTCCACTTGTCGTTTGTCTACTTAACGTTCCCTGGAAGAGTCTTAAACTATTAAAACCAGAGATTTCTTTGTACAACAACGTTGTCTTGATCAACAAAAAAGATTCTATTCTATGATTCGCAGTGAAATATTTTTATAACATCTCTGATAATTGTTATTATCTTCAAGATGTTTTTAACGACAAGCTGTAGCTCCTTTCTTAAAGAATAGGCATAATAATAAATAAATAGTAACGTCATTGCAGAATATCTAAAATATAACATGCTTAATGCGTTAGAAATTCGTAATAGCAACAAACATAAGAAAACTTCAAAAGATTCAAAGATGCATAAATTTAATTATTACGTAAATAAATTATTTTTTCAATATATATTCCGCTAAATAAAGCATCAATATGGTACAAACAAGTTCTTATAATGTGTAAAACAGGAAACAATTTACTATTATAAAAATTTCTCCTTATTTATTAAATAAATAAATTCTTTTTTTAAAAAATTAAACTAAATCAATTATTAGATTAGTTAAAAGATGTTCCGATGATAAAAAAATTAATTAAATTTTTTATCATGTTGCTGCCAGTATTTATACTGTTTATTCTTAATGATAGAAAGCATCAAATATCATTTTTAGCGCCAATAACAACAGAATATGGAATATCAATGTATTTTATTTTTAGAAAGGTATACATGTGCATCCATTTCTTTTTTAATAAGTATTTAATTATTATTTAAGTTATAAAGTTTTATAATTCAAACTTCATTATGAAATTAAAACTATAATAAAATGAAAAGTTGATTATATAGGATGTAATTCTTAAATTACGGTATTATCCATCCTGAGTAAGTAGAGCGGACTAAACTGAGTCGAAAAGTCGTCTACTATTTTGGAATTTTTGCAATGGTTAATGAGATATTAATTAGTAAAAATCACTAAAAATAATCTTCTATATTGACTCAAATTTGACTATTAACTTCACAGAAAAACTGCAAGAGATAAAAATTATTTATTTTTTTCTTATAGAACTCTAAGAATTTTTTCAGAATTTTTTCATCGACTTTTTAGTACGCATTTTTTTATTTTTATCAATATGAGGAAATACGATATTAAAAAATTCTGAAAAAGTTCTCAGAACTTTATGAAGAAGAGAATAAATAATTTTTATTTCTTACTGTTTTCCTAAAGTCAATAAATATTTGAGTAAAAAATTATTGAAGATCAATTTTCGGCAATTAATTTTTTAGCAATTTAATATCTCGTTAACTATTGCGAAAATTGCAAAATGGTAAAGGACTTTTCAACTCAGTTTAATCTGTTTTACCTGCTCAGAATGCCGAATAATTTAAGATTATATTAAAATAGTATAGTCAGCAAAAATTTATTTGTTTCTAAAAACTAAAAGTTTAAAACTACTATATCTCTGCATCAAGTCTCTCAATATAGACACTTGGTATAACATTTTGATTATTTTATTAAAATGTCAATTATTATTATTATTTTGTAATTTAATCAATGCGAGAGAGATACACACAATTAGGGGCTGCGCACAATCAAAGAAATAGGGAACAGATAACTGATAATAAGAATTTCAATTTATCAGATTTCACGATATACGGTTTCTGATAGGTTGAAATTCTTATTTTCTGTTCTTTGTTCTCAGCTATTCCTTTGATTACGCAGCCCTTTAAAATATCTATTTTGTTTTCGAATACGGTGAGGTTGAATAAATCTGAGATCGATTAAATTTGTGAAATCAGTGATATCTGATCACATGTTTTACTTTAGGTTTCTGATTAGGTCAGACCTGTCCAGACACTTGAAACGCTTCCTCTCCGCTATCTCAGTAGAACGAGATGGAGCGAAAATAAAGATAGATGCTAAGATTCCGTTCCGAAAAGAAAGAGAAATATAAAGTGTGTTCTCTTTCTATAGAAAGAGAAACATAAAGTGTGTTAAACAAGGAAATATTCAGTACCATTTCACGACGCGAAACAAGTCGGTATTCATAATCGATTCTTACATTTAAGACTGTCTTAAGTACAATCTTAAAATGTCATAAATCAATCCGAGAACTGTATTAGCATCTTAAGACATTATTTAAGAAAGTTTTAAACTAAAAACGGACCATGAATATCGGTCTATATATTTTACGTTTCACAATTGGCAGGCTTTTCCCCTGACGCGACATTCAGAGGCTGTGGTCGAAGTCTCGCTACAAATGCTTTGAAGCGTTTGATGGACCAATTAGAAGAAAGAATTTTACAAACTGACCAATTAAAAAACGCTTCAAAACGTTTGCAATATCGCGTTGACCATACCCATAGACAGAGATGACGGAGATTTAGAGAGAGATGCTTGCAAACTGAGCACACCATGTTATCCTTTCCACCTGAATTCAGGGGATCGATTGTGTATCTTCAAATGAGGTAGATTACAAAAGTGAGCAAATTTACTAGAGTATTCATAATTTAATTGGAGCCTAGTAACCTTTGTTCACTTTTGTAATTTTCACCTTCCAAAATTCACAATTGATTCCCAGCCTATCGATTCTGTATCTTCAAACAAGGTGAAAATTATAAAAGTGAGCAAATTCACTAGATATTGACCAATTAAATTGTGAATATTCTAATAAATTTGCTCGCTTTTGTAATTTTCACTTCATTTCGAGATATACAATCGACTCCTAGGTCTGTCCGGTCTGTTCAAGCGTCGTAGAAAGGAGTCAAAAGGAAGTCTATTTCTCAATTTGCACTTATAATAGTTTTTATTTTGTTTATTATTCTTGCCTGTGACGCTAAAAAATTACAATAAAATTTTAATCAAACGTTTTGACCTTCAATTTGATCATCATCAGTGATTTTTGTAATAACTGACCAGATTAATGGTCAGAAAAATCGAAACATTTGATTAAAATTGTTGGAGCAACGTTTTTGGTCAAAAAGCAGTCGTGTTCAAGGCGACTGACCATCATTGAGAATGGAATACCTTATATTCTTATATCATGAAACCGTAGGACTCCGATTGCACACATGCATCCCTAATTAATCAATTTAAAAATAAAATATTTTTATTGATAAAGTAGTGAAAAATTACTAGGCACCAGCTGATACGAGTGTTGTGTGCAATCGGGAATGTAAGCAAACGAGATCCTCCCGAGTGAAATAATTTGAGGGAGTAATCGATTTGATTATACAAGTAGTAAGGGGCCGATTCTGTTACTCTTAACAGTAGTTGATGTCATGTAACATCAACGATTGTTGTTAAAGAGTTACAGAATCAGCCTCTAAATTAGAATTTGTCCTAAGAATACAAAAAACAATAATACAAAATTAAATTGGACAGACTTGAATCTAGGACAGAATTTTCCTGCTTTTCCTTCCGTTTCTCATACATGTATCGTTTTATTTTGTAGTATTCAATGAACAAGGATCAAGTGATAATTTATACGTATCATGAATGAAACAAAATGTACTCTAAGATGTTATTCAGAAAATCGGAGCCATCGGGAGACCCATCGGCCACCCCACTCACCCTACTCACCTCCACTCACCCTACTCACCCCCACTCACCCCACTCATCCCCACCATGCGGAGGAAAGCGGAGACTGACGGGACCGATGGGAGTGGACAGTAAACGACCGCGCGTGCGGAGATAGTTTTTGGAGGTTAACAGCGTCTTATGTAAACAAAGACGACATTATCAGGAATTGTAATATTTTCACTGAATTTTGTGTTGTGACTTGTACGCATTGTGAAATCAAGAATCTCTTCTCACTCCTCGTTGCTGAGAAGAGAGTGGAAGAGAGCGAGAAAATAAGCGTGAAATATGCCCAACTTCTGCGCATTCGCTCTCGCAAGGTTAAGTTTAGTGATTATCACAGACTAGCGGCTTGAATGCCGCGTGCGATAGAAAAGAAAGGGGGGGCAACGGGACAGTTACTTTTGTATTCGAATCTTTCGCCGATTTCTTGCAGACATGGATTTTGCGTTGGAACGATTGAACGAAAAACATAAAACACGTATTGTCCTCAAGGAGCGTAATCGTTCTGTAAGTAATATCTGATTTACGTTGAATATCGCGTAAGGATGAAGGCGACTTATTTAGTACATTAGAATTTTTCAATTAACTCAATCGATTCTTTAATTAATTTATCAATATCTAAGAGTGTTATTTCATTTTTCGTTTTTGTATATTTTATGACAAATGTATACAGGACAGAGAGGTCCTCGGATCTCTCTATCCTACAGTCAATCAACAGGCATGAAAAATTTGTTATATGATAAAAACACAAATGAAATAGCGACTTAATACGTTTCTTTAACACTTTGCCGAACAAACAAATAGATCTACTCGTTTTGTAATTCATCATTGAATGATTAAATTAAATAGATCCACTTGATTCGCTCCATGTCATTCTTCTGTGACCCTTAATTTGAAGTAGTATTAAAAGAAATCAAACAAATAAAATTTTCAAGAACGATGCTATTTATAAAAATTGTATAATACTCAGTGATTAGTTAGAGCATAATTACTCAGTTGATAAATTGTTGACGTAAATAGAAATTGTGATGAATTATATCGAAATTTTGTTGTAAGCGACGTTGTATAGACCTATATTAAATTTGAGCAATTTTTAAACAGTAATTGCTTTGAAAAAGAATTTTTTCCCTATATAAAATGTATATTAGAGAAAAAATATAGAATGATATTACAGTTTGCCATAAAGTAATATGCACATGTAAATAAAAGAAATAATATAAAGAGAAGGAGGAAATAATATTCTGGATTCATAAAACAGCACATTATGATTTCTATTTATGCTATATTTATTACATTTATGATACAATCGAAATGCTTATCTACTGTATTTTAATTATTATAAATATAAAAATTCTATAAAAAGGTTTTTGTTAAATAAGTTTTACAATTATACACATACACACGCATGTCTATCTTTAAATTGTATTTTTTCAGTACACCTGTGGTAGAGGCAAGGACAATGATATTCTTTGTCTTAGTTTACTTGTATCTCGTAGACATTGTATTTTTTTTCGAGACACTGAAAGTTTATATGTCACAGACTTACGAGTATGTATGAGAAATAATCATATCAATACTGATGTATTTATAAATTGAATATTAATTCTTGATTTTTTTTCAGAGTTCAAATGGCATTTTTATTAATGGCGATGAAAAAAAGTGTCAGCATACAGTCAAACTATCTGAGAACGATATCATTGGAATTGGTTGCCCTGAAATTGATTCAAGTAAAGAGACATTGTATGTTTTTAAAGTTTGCATCATTAAGGTAGGATGTTCTTAGAGCAGTATATAATATTTTTTGTAGGAATTTAATTTATTATTAAATCTTTATCATATTAATTTCTTTTTAGTCACCTGAACTTGATGAAGAAGAAGAAGAAACTACTGTTTTATCAAGGACGATTTTAAATAACGATACATCACAAGAAATCATATCTCAAGTAAATCGTGATTTTAGAAAAAGACAAGGATCTAATTTAAGTGGCGATATGACAGTACCTAACAAAAAATCAAGTGTTACATATAATAAACATGATTCTAATTCTTCAAAAGGTAAGTCCTTATTTTTTAAACGATATAAATTAGTGAAAAAGAAATAAATTTACAATATTCTGTAATAAATTTTTTAATTATTTAAATTTTTGTCGCAGGAATTGATTCTAATTTATCTCGTAATAATCAGACTCTTAACAGCAACACTATTAATAATTTAAAAATCAGACATGATACTAATGCAGAAGATATAAATATAGAAGATGATATTGAAATAATTCATGCATCATTAGCAGAAGATGTAAGGAAGAAGAACACTACACATAATCTGACATCTGCAAAATGTTTAAACGGCAATAAATCGGATTTTGATGACAATTTGAATGTTTCTAGTGTTGAAAGTAACAATGAAGATGATGTTAATGATAGAGGTATAAGTAAAACTTATATTAAAAAATATATAAGGATAACATTAATAAAACAAATGCATTATATTTCACAGAGAATTCAAATTTTGTACATAAAGTTGATCAAATTATTAAATATGAAAGTGAACTACAAATAACAGACGATGAAGGAGCAAACATAGTTGAACACGATACAACTTGCAAATCACCGATTAAATTGAAAAAAACAAAACATGAACTGAAAACACGATTTTCCGAGATAGATGTTGTCAATTTAAGTGACGATGAGGAGGGAGTATTTCCATATTCCCAATTATTTGATATCAAATATGACGATGATACAGAAAATAAGAGAGAGATAAAACAGGAATGTATCAACGATGATGAACCAAACACCGAGAAAATTGGTCTGCTAAATATTGACGACGAAGTCATTATTTTAACAGACAGCGAAGATGAAGATAATCCATGGTTGGAACGATTATCCAGAAGTCAATTACTCAACGAAGATACAAAATCTGTTTCGTGTGATTTAATCATAAAAGATGAAATCGATTTGGGTATTTGGGATGATGAAATTTTGAATATCGAATCGTCTGAGATAATTAAACAGTCCGAGATACTTCCGTGTATTTCCCAGGTTCTTTATGATAAAGAAATGTCTTGTGAACCATGTATAAGCGTTGATGTTGGAATTAAAAACAAAGACAATGATTATAGTACTAATTTATCGACTTCAAGAGTGGATGCGATGGATATAGACGAAGCAGGCGTTTCTAATCATTCTGGTACGAGAGATATTAATAAAAATAAACAAATTAATGATATCAATACTAATGTTAAAAAGAAACAGAAAACACATGCGAAACAAGATCTAGAATTAGATAAACAGACAATAGAAAGTGTAAAACAAAAATTAATTGCACCGACAACAGAAGTCTGTACGATGGATGTAGACAAGACAGGCGCTTCTAATGAACACAGTACGAGAGATATTGATGCAAACAAACGGATTATTGATGCAAATATTAATATCAAAAAGAAACAGAAAACTCATACAAAACAAAATGTAGAACTAAATAAACAAACAGAAGGTGTAAAACAAAAATTAATTGCACCGACAACAGAAGTAGGTTCAATGGATGTAGACGAGGCAGGCGCTTCTAACGATTATAGTACGAGAGATATTGATGTAAACAAACGGATTATTGATGCAAATATTAATGTCAAAAAGAAACAGAAAACTCATGCGAAACAAAAATTAATTGCACCAACAACAGAAGTACGTACAGCGGATGTAGACGAGGCAGGTGCTTCTAACGATCACAGTACGAGAGATATTGATGCAAACAAACGGATTATTGATGCAAATATTAATGTCAAAAAGAAACAGAAAACTCATACAAAACAAGGTATAGAATTAAATAAACAAATAATAGAAGGTATAAAACAAAAATTAATTGCACCGGCAACAGAAGTAAGTTCGATAGATGTAGACGAGGCAGGCGCTTCTAACGATTATAGTACGAGAGATATTGATGTAAACAAATGGATTATTAATGTCAATATTAATGTTGAAACGAAACAGAAAACGCATGCGAAACAAGATCTAGAACTAAATGATCAAACAATAAAAGATGTAAAACAAAAATTAATTGCATCACTCACAGAAATAGATATGATGAATGTAGACGAGATAGGTACTTCTAACGATTCTAATACTAGAGAAGATGTTAATAGAAGCAAACATATTACTGATGTCGAAATTGATGACAAAAAGAAAACGGATGCGAAACAAAGTATAGAATTAGTTGAACAAACGATAGAAAGTGTACAACAAAAATTCATTGCACCGATCACAGAAGTAAATGCGATGGACGCGGATGAACTAAGCTCTTCTGACGATTTTGACATCAGTAATATTGATAGAAGCAAACAGATTTCTGATATCAATATTGACAAAAACAAACAGAGGACAAATGTGAAACAAGATACACAGTTAGGTAAACATACGTTAGAAAGTATAAAACAAAAATTAATTGTAAAGTCCTCAAAAAGACTGATATCAATAGAACCATTAAGTTTACCTACAAGAAGAAGACGATCTGATCATAGTAAAAACAAAACAACAAAAATACATGAAACTTCACAATTAAGAGTAACAACAAAAGAAAAGAGCGTGTCGAAATTAAAAGCAAAACTTAAACATAATCTTCATAGTAAAGAACAAAAAGAGAATACGGACCGCAAAGCTAAATCTAAATCGGTAACTGATAATTCCTCGTCAAGTGAAGCAAAATCTGGGCTATCAATTTCTAAGGACGAAAAAAAGAAAATAATCGAACAGAGAAAGATGAAATTGAAGGAGATTGCTGCGGAAGAGAAGAAGCTGATGGCCGAAAGCGATCAAAGTACTAAACGTAGGAATAAACCGAGAGCTAAAGTATCCTTTAAAACTCGTGGCGATTTTCTCATTACTGAACAAGAACCACGAGTATCTAAATCGCTTCCAGATAAACCCGCAGAATTATCAAAATCAAGTAATCAATCTAAGAAGCAATCAAGAAATACAATTAATGTATTAAAAGAATCCACAATTTCCGACAAGAAGGCACAGAATTGTCAAAAAACGGACGTTTCTAAGGATACAGTAAATAATATTGCCGCATCATTACAACAATCCTTATATTTAAATAATATAAACATTGCGTCTGAGAAAAGTACAGTAGATTTCAAAGCGACCGATGATAATAAAAAGAAACGTAGCACTAGCAAAGATGTTACAAAAAAGAGTAATATTAATACTGATTCTACTTTTCAAGTGTCAGAATTACAAGATAGATCGACCGAACGTAGTTCTGTGATACAAAAAGAAAATTTTTCACCAAACAGTTTGAAATCAAAGCTTTTAAAGTCGAGCATAAAACTGAAGAAAATTAAAAAAGTGACATTTTCTGACAGATCCGAAATATGGGAATACGATATTGACCAAGGCAATTCTTTAAGGAAATTGGAAAATCTGTAACCTGTGCAGATTGGCGTCCGAAACTGGAAGAGTTCCTACTTCGCATTTTTATGTGGAATCCTGTGTGGCTCGAAGAACAGCGCTATCTAAAGTGCGATCCGCCAATAATATCGGAGAATGAACTTCAAGCTATGAAACCATTTTACGATTCTTATGAACAGTATTATGAAGTCGCGATGCCTCTTCTATTACTCGAAATGTGGTGCATCATGACTAAAGATTTCGAAATGATTCAGAAGAATATGCAACGTACTACCGTAATGTGTTCTATAGTTGAGAATTCTATTACGCACACCCCTATACCGTCGACTAATTTATTCTTGACGAAATTAACTCTTGAAGTGCTAGTCAATAAAGAAGATTTTAATAAACAAAATCATCCTATTTACGGAGATCTAGTATATCTTGAATATGTCAAGAATCAACATGGTAAACAAATCTTTCACAAGATATTCGCATATGTCGTCAACATGCAGCAACACATGGTTATCCCAGACTCCACATATTATAATAGCGATTTAAAGAATTATGTAAAAGATCCATATACAATTATAAAATACAGCGTGTGGACACGACCTCTTGAACACATCATCGTAAATAGAGTGCAAAGACTCCGAACGGTCACGTATTTGCGATCGAATATCAGAATGGTACAGGCATTACAATATCTCCCTCATTCACCCTTGTCAAAGTTGATCGTGAATCCGAAAATTGAAGACTATCAATTACCACCACTAAATGAACACTTTACATCTTCTTCACTAGTAACAAAAGAAGATTTAAATTCGAAGCAATTAGAGGCTGTATTTCGAGTGACGAATGCTGTAATAAAGAAAGAGGCTAAATTATGTTTTATTCAGGGCCCACCGGGGACGGGCAAGTCTAAAGTTATTGTAAATCTAGTGGCTCAAATATTATATGGTGCATGTCAAGACAAGAAATCTTTGAGAATCCTGATTTGCGCACCGTCTAACGCCGCTATTGATGAAATTGTGATAAGGCTTTTACATATCAGATCTACCTTAAAACAGAAACGTTTTAATATGGTACGCATTGGTCGATCAGAATCTATGCATCCAAAGACTAAAGATATTTCTGTGCCACAGATAGCAAAACGCCACCTAATAAACATAAGTAAAGGTATAAAAACAACGAATAACAACATTGAAGATTTATCAATTTTACAAGCGCATATTAATTCGTTTAATGCCGAACTTGGAAGTATCAAAAACGTACAAGAAGAAAAGAGGTATTCACTCAATAGAAAACTATTTGAAACAACGGTGAAATACGAACTTATGAAATCTAATAAATCGATAGACGAGATCAATTCAAAAGAGCGCGCCAGGTATCAGCGTATGTCAGAAGACATAGTTCTTCAGGGTGCCAATATAATTGCTTGTACACTTTCCTCTTGTTACACTAATCAGATGGAATCACTCTTTGGTGGTCACAAGGAAAGGATATCTGTATGCATCGTTGATGAGGCGACGCAGAGCTGCGAAGCAGAGACTTTGATACCATTAATGTTGGGGGTGACTACATTGGTTCTGGTAGGCGATCCAAATCAACTACCAGCAACCATTCTAAGCCAACGAGCGAAGAAATTGGGATTAGATCAATCAGTATTTTCTAGGATACAAAACGTTTTCGCGTCTCAATCGAACAATCCAATTATAATGTTGGACATGCAGTATCGTATGGAGTACGCGATCTCGTATTGGCCTAATAGATACTTCTATGGTGGTAAATTAAAAAACGCTACCGATTATAGAATGAAATTTCCATTTCATGCATACAGAGTTTTGGATCATAACTTCACTCAGAACTATGATAAATTTTCTAATACCACTGAAGCAGAATTTGTGGCCAACATAATTTATACAATGTTGAAGTGCGCCAAATGGGAATCAACAAGTACTACTATTACTCTCGGAGTTCTCACACCGTACAACAATCAAAGAACTCTTGTACTAAATAAAATTAATGAAAAGTACGTGTGTGCAAAAGCAGCAGTTTCTGTAAGTTATAAAGAAATCGTAAATTTACAATTCATATGTTTTTTTTATAGGATATCGTCTGTACCGGATGACACAAAAAAGAAAATTAGCTTTGAAGTTAATACGGTCGACGGTTTTCAAGGTCAAGAGCGAGATGTTATAATAATGTCCTGTGTGAGAAGTAGTGGTATTGGATTTTTATCAGACAAACAAAGACTCTGTGTAGCACTTACAAGAGCTAAACATAGTTTAATATTATGTGGAAATTTTCGTACTTTCATGGTAAGCGAAGAATAATCCTGAAATTTTTAATTCTGGGAATAGTGAGTGATTGCGCTACTGGATGTATCCACTAATTGCATTCAACAGAATGATCAATTTTAGACTGTTGGAAGTTTTATTTGCTGAGATAGGACTATTTCTCTATATTTGAAAGTTATAATCCGATTAGAATGTGAAGAAAATTATTGGAAATTGGTGCTACTCTTTATATTTTAATTAAGCAAATTTTTGCTTTGCAGAAAGATAAAATGTGGAAGGCATTGTTAACTGATGCACGAAATCGTGGAATTCTATGTCGTATGGATACTAATGCAACACCTAGTATGATTAAAAAATATATCATTAAGTAAAGTACTCATATGTAAAGTTTTACTTAACATCGTAATTACTTCTTTATATGGTTTGTATATTTTGTAAATATTTAGACTAAGTTTGAATATATTTAAAGTGCTTATAATGAAAAATGTCAACTGAATCTTGAAGAATGTTTGTTTAAAGTAATGTTTCAGAATCATAGTTCTAAATAATGAGACATATGAATGCTGATTCTACCACCAAAGTGTTGATTGCTTGCATTGGACACATCTCACTCACTAAAATATAATACTACTGGAGCGCGGCCCTATATTGTCTTTGTTAAGAATAATCCGAGGGAGACTGTTCTAATTGGTATCTTTATTCTTTTCTAACCTGTACTCAACTATAATTGCGTATGTGCAGTAGGACGGCAATCATAGCTAAGTATAAGTTAGAAAAGAATGAAGATACCACTTGAAACGCTCTTCTAGCATTGTTTTGTCTCTCAGGAGCAACTGCTCGAGGTCACTTCAAATGAACCCAGTATACTTGAAACGTGGAATTTATACTATGTACATCCATAACAATGAATCAGTCAGATGTCGTATGACGGATGTACGTAGTGTGAATGTATATCAAGTATGATGGGTTCATTAGGAGCGACCCTGAGTAATTCCCAAGAGACAAAACGAACAATACTTTTAACGCCAGTGCTTTATATTTCAGTGATCTCACTACAGTTAAGATCAATATTGTATATGTTCGTTTTTTATCGTACGACAAATTTTTCAAGTGTTTTAATTGGTTGCAAGACCAAGAAGATCTCGGACCTCTTTGTCTTATAGCTAATCAACAAGTTTGAAAAATTTGAAATGAAATAGCAGTCTAACAAAGGCGATATAAAGGCTATTCTACATTGTCGTATGCATCATGCGACTTTAAAATTGAAGCATCGGATTGGCTGGAGCAATAAGTTGTGACTTGCGACGTCTACGATACGACCGATGTAGAATGGCCTTAAGGTCGATATTTCATATGTCGTACGACAAAGTTTTTCAAGCCTGTTGATTGGTTATAGAACAGAGAGATCCGAAAATCTCTCTGTCCTATAGTTGCTAATCAACAGGCTTGAAAAGCCTTTTCATACAATACATGAAATCTCGGGCTAAAGGAGTGTATGTACAAAGGATCGACTGGGCTCGATATTCACGATTTTGATTGGTGGCCGCTATCAGTTAATTAACAAGTGAAACCTATTTGCATTTTTCTTATAATATAGGACTCTAGGGCTGCGTTCAGGAATTACGCCTAGATAACTCTTGGGTACATTTTTGCTATACGTAACGTAACCTATAACTTAGAGTTATCTGGGCGTAATTTCTGAACGCACTCCAGCGCTCAGTGATCGATTATGTTTCTGGATGCACTCAGTGGTTGCGTTCAGGGGATCGATTCTGTATCTTGAAATGAGGTGAAAATTATAAGTGAGCGACTTTACTAAAATACTGATTATTTTAATGGTCAACACCTAGTAAATTTGCTCGCTTTTGTAATTTTCATCTTATTTGAAAATACAGAATCGACCCCCTGCAGACTCAACTGTTGCAGAATGGATTCGCTTTGGAGGCCGAAATCCGAAAATCCGATTGGCTGAAGAGGAAAGAAGGAAGGATCCACTCACTGTTATTGGTCGTGTTCAACAGACCAATAGCAACGAGAGCTCACGGATCTGCAGGAGGTCGATTGTGTATCTTCAAATGAAATGTAAATTAAAAGTGAGCAAATTCACTAGAGTATTCATAATTTAATTGGTCAATACCTAGTAATCTTTGCTCACTTATGTAATTTTCACCTTTCAAAATTCACAATTGAGCTCCAGATCTGCTGCGCAACAGTTGAGTGCCTAAGTATCAATTATGAAACTATCTCTAAGATGAAAAGTGGAAAGTGAAAATTTTAATCATTGAAATTAATGGAGAAATTTTTCACTTTTCACTTTTCACCCTAGGAAAAAAATTTCATGATTGATACCTTGAATGCGACTAATTTACAGGGCTGTTTTCTGTGGCTGAACTAGTGTATACTTTTAGACTTAAAGTGAGATAGATATATTGGGTCATCTAAAAAGTATCCGCGATTTTTTGTCACTAGATGTGTGTTGATGGTCATATATCTAGTGACAAAGTACTACTTTTTAGACCCAATACATTTGATATTTTTAAAGCGAGAAAGAGAGTTCTAGAAGCAGTCTAGTGCAGGAACAGAAAACGGTTCATACGTTTGCGTTTCGAATTATTCAATCTGCTTCAGTAATTTTATAATCATGGTTGTATTTCGAAGTATAACAGTGGATGAATACAAGAGTAATTATATGACGTTTCAATTGCTATACGCGTGTCATCGGACACCAATCGGAAAATGCCTCATTGCCATAACTGACACCGACGAAAGTGTGACGTACTTGAAATTTATTGACAATGAATACGATGGTGAGGCGACTGCTCTCAAAGATTTAAAAGCGAAATGGCCTTTAACTCAAACATTGAAGGATACTGATAATAAAACAGATGCTGTTATCGCGAAAGTCTTTCATCCCAATTATTCACAGCTTAATTCTATTCATGTTTTCATGAAAGGTACGAAATTCCAAATTAAAATTTGGAGATCTTTGACTGAAATCCCTGGAGGAACGGTCACTACGTACGGGGAAGTCGCACGGATGGCGGGTTGTGATTCTAAAACTGCAATAGCAGTAGGAAATGCATGTTCTAGGAATTATGTTGCCTATATTGTACCATGCCATCGTGTGGTAGCAAAAAACACACATGTTTGTGGCATCAAAAATGCTTGGAAAATTGAGCAAAAAGGAACTATCTTGGAATATGAAAAACAGCTCTATGCGTAAATATTGTAAATTAATGTATGTCATACAAGTACAGAGCATAACATTTAATTATTATAATAAAATGTTATAAATTTGATATTTGCCAGTACAATGAATTCTAAATACAGCCTATATCAAATTTATAATACTCAACTTCTGTCTAAAGGTCTATGCTTTCGTAATTTATAATTATGTTACATTTATTTTCATTTATTTTTCTTGCATTTAAGCATTTCTAGAATGTGCGAACAGTAAATTATGCGAAATAAATGGCGCATTTGTAGGTGATAAATGTTTATTTTTCTCACGTACATTAAATCTTGTAAAATTACAAAATTCTTTTTGTTAGTATAATAAAATACAGTGATTATAAAGATATCTCACTTATGGATGAGATATCTTCAAATATTTCTTAAAAATGTCAGTTATTGTCACTTATATTTATATATTTACATCATGTTTTTTCATGGGCAGTGAGCTATATAACATTGTTAAGTTAATTAAATCAGTAAATGAAGATATTTCTGTATAAATAACAGAAATTAAATTCATCATTATATATTACTGTACATATGTATTTCATGGAAATTGATATTTTTATGTTTGATTACTAATAATTTCTTGAATTACATACTGTTTGAATACATTTATTTATGCTTGCTCCTAAATTTCCTGCAATTTTCTTTAATCTTATCTTAAATATCCCAATTTTGTAACGCATCCTCCTTATATATCTTATTATTGCTTATTTAATTTTTTTTATACAATTGTACACCTTCAATTAAAATTATGAAATAAACTTGTACATTAAACTTGTTCACTCTATATATATATATATATACTGTATATAGTGTATATACTGACAAACACATTCTAAAAAAGTAAAATGTAAAATCAAATTTTAGCAATACTAGATAAAAGATAAAATGTTAAAGTTACTAATTATATTTTCTGTACAAATTGTAATTAAGCGTAGTAAATATTATTTTAGTTTACTTCACTATCAATATTTATACACTAATAAATAATTGACGAGTTTACACGTTTATATACATCTATTTTCATTTTTCATATTAGCTTAAATATGTAAGCTAGAACCATGATATTAAATTTAATCTGTATTTAAATTGTGTTTACTGTGCTGTACAATTAAAAAGTTTATTTTATAAATTCGTTCTTTTGTATAAATTGCTTTTTGCACTCTTGCGTTTTTATTAATTTTTTTTGGAATATTGATATCTCTTCACATGTTTTCTTTTATCGTTACACATATAACTGTGCTAAAATATATTTTATTCTGTAAGAAGAAACAACTCTTTCACTCATGTTACTAATATTTCTCATCAGACAGAGTTTTTAATTTTGCATTTTCTTTTTCTAAATCATTGATATGTGTTGTTTGCGAAAATTACTTTCCTTCGTATTGAATACAAATGTACATTTGCTAGAATTATTTATCTCTAATGGAGCGAAAAGGAAATTGAACCGTACATATTAAAATAGTAGCTTTGTGTCAGTCTTATGCAATTGCATAATTTATCTATTTTTCTATAAGTCTATTCTTTTTAGTTAAAGTTCTTGCACAGTTCATCTTTTTTCCTTTTCTCTCCACGTTGAAAAGAAAAAGAGAAAAAATGAACCGTGCAAGAAGTTCAGTTAAAAAGAATAGACCTTATGACAAACTATTTGTTTTTCATAAGGCTTTTTCATAAGGTTTATGGCGCGTTTTCTGCTCTATGGATATTTAAGATGTATTTTACTTATATTATTATAGAAAGATATCACCGTTTTGATTACTCTAAATCAGAGTACTTTTGGTTTACCTTTGAAATTGAAATGTGTCAATATTCATGCCTATTATCATTCCTACTCTTCACTTTATTGCTATTTTGTCATAACGCGTGACGCTCGTTCTCAGAGACGACACTAATCTAAAATTGTTAAAAGTTTTTGATCTGTGTTAATCACTATGTTTAAAAGTATATTATTAATATTATAAAGTATTACTAATATTATTTATAATATATTTAATTATAAAAATACATGAATTATGTATGTATATATATATATATATATATATATATACAGTGAATGATAATATCTCTTTATATATTAATAATATTAGCAATAGAATACTTTTAAACACAATAAATAATACAGGTTAAAAACTTTTAATGATTTCAGACTAGTGTCGTCTCTGAGACCGAGCGTTACGACAAAACAACAATGAAGTGACGAGTAGGAACGATAATAGACATCAATATTTACACATTTCAATTTAAATCCAAAAGTATCCATTCTGAACAACTCTGCTCTAAATAATATAAGGAACGTCTGAAGTCTTGTTTGACTTTAAACAAATTTGATGTCACATGATAACTACAAAAGTTTATCTTTGTAATATTCCAAATAAGTTGAATTGATTATCACAAAATTATTTAAAAAATTACTATCAATCTCTTCTATGTATTTCAATGTCGTATTTTTATATTTTTGTGATGTTTGTTTCGTAAAAAATTATTTGCACATAGATAGTGACTCTTTGGGTTTTCATGAACAGTCACGGCGAAATATCTGTATCTTACAAGGCAGTGTTCAGACATGATTATTAAGACCTAAATTGTGGCCTATCTCGCTCTGTTGAAATCAATTAAATAAATAGTAATAATTCGCAATAGGGATCAATTGTAATTTCGTCATCAGCGAAAAATTCATAGTATATCATTGTAGACATCACAGCTTTAAAATATATTTTTTACGTACCGTCACGTTTTATACATAAATATCGATAAAAATATCTGTAGCCATTATATTTTCTCTCTTTTATAAAAATCCCTGTGCGTTTGCCAACTTGCTTAATGGAACAGATCAAAGTTTTTTATTTTGTAAAAAAGCAAAACTCGCGAAATGCAGCGTGGGCGAAGTGATGAAAAAATATGATATACAAATTTGCTATATCTCTCCGATGTCTACAGTGTATGTCATTTTACGTCGGTCTTTGCAATAAATAACTGGCTCTTACATCTCGATTGTCAGTTAGACAAAAATAGTCAAAATGCAGAAGTGTACATTAAGGTCATTCATTAACTAGCTCACTATTAAATATGTAAAAATGATGTCATTATTCGAGCGTATACGGGAATGCTACCTTCGCGATGACCACAGCAACGAGAAGCATAAAAGTCGTGGACATTGTCGATCTACAGAGAGTTGACGAAGAAACTGCATTTTCTGATATTCGAGTAGTTCCTATAATCGAGAAAAGAAAATAAATGAATTATAAATTCAAATATAAAAAGTAATCTTAAGTAAAAAATATCCTAATTTAACGAGCAAATAAGATGTTTAAATAAATTAATTATTTAAGGATAATGAAATAGTATATACTACATAAATGCATAAAAACATTCCGCTTATAGAGTCTTTATCAGTTTATAATTATTTATTCGAGAATTCTCGAATACATAACCGATAGTTATTTATCTAAAGGCAATTTTATATTCTTGAACAGCAAAAATTAAAATATTAGCTAATAGACAATAAAATTTATTTAACCTTATTTAGTTAACTGACCTGATATCCTCGGTCTTGGAGTTGTAATCCTCATTATTGGATTATGAGGAATCGGTTTCATTGGAGTTGGCGCAGGACTTGGCGAATTCCCATAACATTGTCCTTAAATAACATTATCGTATAGAAATGTGTTACTTATTGTTATTACAATAGTTAAAAAAAAAATAACTTTGATTCGTCTATGAATACACGAATTTATATAGATGTTCCAGATAAAGGTCAGTTACTAATTGATCGTGAAACAAAAGATTTTATATGAATGCATGAATAAGTCATGAGTAGATGCGTCTCATAAAGCACTTACCTTTTTTGTAAAGACGCATCCCCTGTTGTTTGGGATCTATATTTCGTGTACAATGATCGCCGGCTTCCTTAATATATATTTCCTCATCGTTGACAATCAAACCTACGAAACACTCATTTGTAGCAGTGTCGTTTCTCATAGTATAGGTATACATCACGCCGTCTTCTTCCCATTGTCCCAAGCACAGATATGTTCGTTCTGAAAACAGTGAGTAAAAGCGTTTGTAGAAAAAAGAAACATATTATGAAAACATATATAAATCATTATACAAAAATAATGATTAATATGTATATATAAATAATATGTATATATAAATAATGTATAAATTTTCAAATTAAATTGCTTAAAATAATATTTATTCGACCATTAAAATTTAGACGAGAAAATATCACCCAGAAATAGTAAAATTTAACGATATCGTAATCGCTTTGAAAGAAAACGTAAGTTTCATTTGGTAAAATAATGGAACGGTGAAATTTATTAATTTCTAATATTTTTTCATTTTTCTTTACATTTATTAATAATTCTATACACACCTTCGTACAATTCTCCGGACTCGCAGTCATTCACTTTGAAATACATTATTTCACGAGTGTTACAGTTGCTGCTTAATTCGGCACACATTCCCGACAGATCTGTTATCCTTCCTACATATTGGCCCGTAATTGGACAGGGTGACTCCACTACACGTTCGATACCTTAAAAATGATTTATATATAAAATAATAATGCGCATTTTTAAAGTTATTTATGAAAGTGCACAGATGATTTATAAAGGTACTGCAAACTAGTATATTTTAACTTACGTGATTGAGTCATCCACAACCGTTTATCCATATAGGGATCGTCACATAAATCACTTTGATAACTTACTGGATTATTGATCGTCCCTATACATGATATTATTTCTATTATTGCATGATTATACTTGAGATTCATACGAGATTCATAGAAATAAAATTGAATATAAAGATGGACAGAGATTAATGAAAAATAGAAAAAGAAAAAATTTTTGTATATTTATTTAGATTCATATTTGAAATCATTATTATTTTGATTAATATTTTGCTATTTATTATTTGTATAGATTTTATACTACTTTGATTTCATTGAACAAGTTGCAGTTTTTGGTAAAGCGTTAATAATAATAAAGTCATTATATAATGAAGGATGGAAAATATATATATATATATATATATATATATATATATAAAATTAATATAGAAAATAGTTTTCTTTTTACCTAACGCAAATTCCAGTACGTTTTCGCTGCGTTGCCTCATCAATA